AAAAAAAGGAATTGAGTTTCTATTGTAAATATTCCTCCTGGCTCTCAGTGGCGTTACGCGTGCGTGTTGCGCTCCGGCAGGGTCGCTTCTAGTCCAACTCGGGCATGCTGCGTGGCCGGTGCGTAAAAATACAGTCCGGTCTCCCCGCTAGTTTATTGCTTCATGAAACACACACAAAAAAGTGCCGAGGTAAGATTAGACCTGCTCCCCTGCTTCTCGACGTGGCTCCTAAATCAGCTCACCAACATTTCCACGCCGGTATGTTGTTTTTTTTTCTGACCGTCTGTAACACTGTGCACTCCGGTGTGTGCGGCAGCCCGAGCTCAACTGTAACCCGAGCTGAACAGAGCGCATGAGGAACAGCCCACTGTGCCAGCAGCGGCCAATCACAGCGCTCTGTCCGAACTTGGAAGCAGGAAGCGAAGGCATTTAAGGGACGTGGATGGGTAGATGGTAGGTAGAAGGAGGGAGCGAGAATTGGTGAGGGGGGCGGGGGTGTTATTGGGTTGACCCCACATCTCCACCTCCCCTCTCACCACCACCTCGGCCCGAGCCATCGACCCAAATTGAAATGGACGTTGGAGTTATTCGTCATACTGAAAGCTTCGGTGAGGAAAACGAGTGCACCAGTGTGTGTGTGTATGTGTGTGAAAGTGCTTACAAGAGCAAAACTTTGGCCCCTTTAAGTCCAGGGCTTGTTGTTCCCAGTAGATAACTAATTACTAATTGGTCCATCAAGAAATTCGCCTGGAGCGCCACATTTATCATTTTGGTTATGAAGGATTGCATTTGTAACATTTTCCCTACGACTAGTCTGTTATTTCTGCTATTTCTAGCTGTGCCGCTGTAAATATATTGGTTTTATTCTATATACACAGGATTACAGTATCTGTTCTTTTGGCCCCCTTCTTTTTCTTCTCTGAAGGGAATGATGATTAATGGTCTCTTTGGATCTCTTTCTAGTCGTCCTCTTTTGGGATAATGAACTGCATGAGAACTTAGTCTCCAGTGTCAATAGACAATAGACGGTCGGTAGCCTATAGTCACTGGGCCATTCATTCACTGAGGAAGAAATGCTTGACACATAATTGATCATGTCCATGTCTGTGCCCCCTTTGTGCGCGCATATGTGTGTGTGTTTGAGGGAGAAAGGAGAGAAGAGTTCCCCTTCATTTCCTTGCATTTATTCAATCAATGCTGCCCCCTAATGGCTGTGATGAAATCGATTCTCAGACTACAGGTGGGGGGGGAATGAGTCTAATTGGAAAGGAAATAAAGCAGACATTTAAAGACACGTCTTATGGTTTCTGAAATTATTTTTTTTATTACATCCTGTGGTGTGTTGACAGCTCATAAATCTCTGTGAGACAATAACACAGGCTTCCAGTGATTATACACCCTAATTGTCTGAGTAAATTTATATTTGTGCAGTTAATGTGTGCGCATCCTCAACAGCAGCAGTTGCCACAGAGTTGCCATCTTGGATGCCTGGTGCTTTACCAATCAGAGGGTCATGGACAGATGCCACCTGTGTACAACTTTGTGGACTGCCACACATGGTGCCAACAGTTCGTGAGAATAGTGATGTAGAGGTTTGTTAGCCCAGCAAAACATTATCCATAGATTTGTCCTAGGAATGATCAAAATTAATCTTTTACAATAGTATATGTAGATTTCAAAAGAAAAAAAAGTTATATTCACTACAATATGTGAAACATGACTGACTGTCCACATGCCTTTACATAAACAAAAACTCCTCTGTGCAACAAGGAGTGTATTGAGCTTAGCTTTCATATTCACTCACATCATAGAGAACCCATTTGAGTGTTTTTCACCCTTCCTACAGCTACCTATGAGATACTGGCATTTTCAAGGAATGAGGTCATTGTGTTAATGTGTATAGGTGGCTGTGATTAGTGCTTCCATAAATAGCCTGAATGTACTTTCATATCACAGCAGCTTACGCACACACACTTCAAAATGGAGAACGCCCATGTCTAAGGGGTTTTTTCATCGCTGATTGGTAGTAATGTGTAACCTCACATTATTTATTTCAGCGCAGCTGTTTATCAGCTTGTTATCCAGGTATGTTTTTACTGCTTTTCTAGTGTGTTTGTGATCAATATCAGATGATACTCGCTGTTGTACCTCTCTTTCAACCTCCCACAACCTGTTACATCTGATTTTCAGTTCAGTTCTTAAGTAATTTAGCAAACCTCAGCCCCTTCCTCTTCCTTAAGAATGCCTAAATGACACCTACCCTTCTACTGAGACTCTTTCCGATGAGGCTTCAGTCAACAGTAGTACAGATATTGCTCGTCTGCTGTAGGGTTTTTGTTGTTTTTTTGTCTAGTTTCCTCAAAAATCTTAAGGCCACGCTAAACACCATGTCACAATATAACAACTTGTCATCTAATAGCTCTTTAAGAATCACCTTGTTGATGCAAAAATACAGTTTTATGTCGGTCAAACTGTTTTTCATAGATTCAGTTAAACTAATTATGTGTTTTTGCAAGAAGCTGCCGGTAATAAAGTGTCTAAAGATACAATTTAAAATTGGTTTATGTTTGTCTGTTTATGTGCAGACACAACACTGGTTCAGCCCACACGTTAAGTGCCTTTTTGCTTTAAGAGCTTGAATGATTTATAGATCAGGTCAGTGTTGAGTGGCTTAACAAACAGACAAACAAACAGAAGCTTCCTCGGAAAGTTGTCAGGTACAAGGACTGGACTGAAAATGAGTTAAAAAGCAGTCAATGTCCAAAGAAAACCTTGGAATGGCCTTCACAAAGCCTGGAGAACTGTGGCTCAAGACCACTTTTTAAAATATTACAGGAAAGTCTGGCTCCTTGGAAGCAGAATATAAAGAAATCAGGGGTAGCTCAACACTTGTGCACAGCACTGTAATCATGCTTTTATTCATTTAATATTTAATTGGTCAAATGTGTCAGAATGCGGTCAATTCACAGTTCAAAACACCTACTACCACGCTGACACGCTTATAATGACCAGGCAGATACCAAGTAGGTGTCCTGCTTATTCACCCTCTCACTTTTAGTGTTGCATAGTTCAGCTGAGGCTGATTAAGAACGTCACCACTTTAGCAGTTATTACGTTGTAACCCAAAGTACTGGATTAATTGAAATTTTGACTGGATATTGGCACAGACACACGTGAAAGGATTACTAGAGTATTTCTATCCCGCTTTAGGGAACACGAGCGCGCAGCAGATATTATTGCAGTATATCCAATTGCAGTGAAGACTTTTTCCTTAAAGATGCTCCTGCTGGTGTTAAAAGAAATGTCAGGTGATTGCCATTCCTCCTCTGTGGGCCATGAATGTCTATATGAACCTGCAAGGCAACACATTCAGTAGTTTTAGAGACTGACTGGCAGTCAGCTTAACATTACACTCCCCAAATCCTGCTACCGTTCTTGCTATGAATACTATATTGTCATATAAAGCAGGAACACTGTAAATTCTCCCTTTTTCAAACTGAAGCGATTCTTTGGTTCTGAAACGTTCACAGATTTATATGAAATTCATTGTGTCGTCATTTCTTACAGCTCGTAAATGGGAGAACGGAGAGACATTTGCCGTCGCTTTTGTTTTCTTCTCTCTGAATCCAAGATGAACCCTGCTGTCGAGCACATAGTTGCTTCCCAATCTGATATTTACACTTAGCAAACACTGAAAGTATGACATCATGGTTCCAGGATGAAGCCGCTGCGGGCTCGTAATTCGTCCAGCAACCTCACAGGGGAAGTAAATCACGGTTAAAACGCCCTCCTCTCGCTTTTAATCTGCCCTTAATGAAGTCTGGCACATTTCCCTTTAGTCGTGGCTCCATGACACGACTGTGATCTACAGGCCCAGCCCGGAGACCAGAGGCCCGTGGCCTTGGTAAGTGCTGTGGGAGACGTGGCTTGAGCCGGGGCTGCGTGTCCAGGTATGAGCCGAGCCCCTTTGGCATGCACGGGGTCAAGTGGTTAACCCTCATTATCTGGAGAGGACGAGGAACATGTGACTGGGACGTTCCAGCTGCAATCAATATCGAACAGTCATTAACTGCAGAGACAATGCATCCTCACACACAGAGACGCCCGCGCACACCCGAGCACTTAGTGGCACATGTTTCTCGTCCATGTCACGTACTGTAAAGTCTCCACCAAAGGAAACGTAAGGGCATAAACACAAACAACATTGATCCACTCCAAACACTGAGCCATTTTAAACGGTGGGAAAACTCAGCTAATGTTAACAGGCTATTTTCAGAGGCTGACACTTGAAGGTTGTTGTATAAGCTTTTCCTGCTGCTTTGATTTAACTGTAGCGGCAGAGAGGCCAATCACAACAGCTGGGCTATCCGCAGACTTACATTTCCTGTTTGTGGTATGCTTGATTGCTGTCCAGACGTCTTCCTCCCTTCTCTTCTTATGCTTGCTTCAATCTACCTCCTCTCCTTTACTCGTCTCAGCCATCACGACTGACAGAAAAGCACTGATTACACACAAATAACAATCTGCTTAAAACATGTCCTCCACATATTACCATCCCAGTATGAGACGCAAGTAAAACCCTCTTCTCTTCTCTTCTCTTCTCTTCTCTTCTCTTCTCTTCTCTTCTCTTCTCTTCTCTTCTCTTCTCTTCTCTTCTCTTCTCTTCTCTTCTCTTCTCTTCTCTTCTCTTCTCTTCTCTTCTCTTCTCTTCTCTCATAGTAGTAATTAGGCTTGATAACCACCCAAGACAATAGATATTTCATGTAACCATCTTTGTCTACATATAAACATCCAGGAATCTCGATAGCAATCCTGATTAGTGCCTGGTTGTGATCCTCCTATCTTAACTTGCCGCAGTTCCCTGCATTATACCTTTTTAGCCTCTCGGATGAGATTAGAATTTGAAAAGGGAAATTGTCCTTTGATGCTTCATATCAAAGAACTAGACAATTCCCATTGAAAAAACGGGTAGAAAGTGAA